CTCATTCACCTCTGAAGACACATGTGAACTCTTCCAATTCAAAGGTTGCAATAGTTCATTATCAAATTTCAGGGGTGAATAAGTTAACGTTCAAAAACACTTCTTGTAAACTTTGTAATCAATATAAGTCTAGATTATGACACTGACGAGAACTCCCCGGCGTATCGTTCCGACCGTGCTCAACGTGTGCCACTACGTTAACATGACTCGGGTATTTGTTCACGTCATACAGTCAGCTCTCCATTTATTGAAATGTTTGGAGCTTTTTCAAGACAGGATCGCTATTGGGACACTTTATCATAATTCTGAAGTCTCGACCTTGGCGCGTAGCTTTATTTGTAATATCATGACAGCCTGCCTTTATAATGGCATGTACAAAGTATTCGTATTGATTGTAAATGAAATGTGACTTGTCAACATACGCTTTACCAGATAAACGTAGACACACTTTCCATTTATAGCGTCAACAAATAGAACCAGGATTTTTTTAGATTTCTTTTTATCTATACAAGGCTTTTTATAAGTCCTCAGAAATCTTCTGTCAAAATACTCACGAAGACGTTTGAAATCCTCTAATATGTTGATATAAAAAACATATATAGCCAACATGTCAACATGTTTTGTGTCTAACAGAGCCAACTGTTAAATACAGACTCAATCTGTCTGTTAGTCGTTTATGTATGGTAGTATACTCTTATTTGTTTGAAATGATGTATGTCGTATTTAATCCTAAAATGTTCACGTCAACTATGTGTTCTACTTACTCTATTCCACCGGAAGATCTCGGCCTTTTCTAACGAAAATTTTGTCTTAAGAAGTTGTTTACTTTTTCACAACGCAGTTTTTCCTTTTTCCCTTACCGGAACACTTTGGATTCAGGTAAACAAAACAAAATGGCCATTATGCTACAAGGTATTGTAATGAAGCAATGAAACCCAAAAATACATTATTTCAAATACGAGTTAATTTTTCAATGACCCATAGTTTAAAAAAATGTTGAATCGAGTTAATCCTACAAGCCTTCAATTGATATGTAAATAACAACATCATAAATCAATTAACTTTAATGACTCGTACATTTAACTATGTAGCTATTGTTTCTGGTCTATTGTCCGATTTGACAGATCACAGATAGTAATCTCCCCTTGTTTAGTAGGCAATAACTGTCAAACTTAAGTAGCGTATTACCGTAAAAGCAGCAATATTTTCCGTTCAATAAAAACTTTTGTTGCAACATTTTTAATTTCTGTTTGTGAAGGTTGATCGTATAATTATTTTGGAAAGAAGTAATATTTGATAAAACTTATCATTAGATTTTCTGTTAAGTTTGTTCAGTATGGATTAGAGCGACAGGACATTGCAGTAACTTAACACCCCCGTGAAGGTCTGCCGATGGATTTGGTTGTGAGCAAGCGATACGGAACAGTCAAGCTTGACCTATGCCCTGAAAGGGTCAATATAGATATTAATTTTACAGAAAACATAACTGGATATATTTCAATAGAGCTATGAGTAATTGGGTGTTTAGTTTAGTCCCGGGTTTGTATGGTCCCGGGTGTGTCCGGAGGTCGTATATACACGTGTTCTTGTACGTGTGTGTACATTATGATATACCCTAATATGCGTTCTACGTGTTGTTTTGTATCAATAAGCGTCCTAACAGGACGGGTGTACTTGACAAGTTATCTTCACAAACAAGTTACGCTTTAGGATTTCAGGACAAAGTAAGAAGAAATGTGTGATTTTGTTCAACTGTGATTCGTATAAAAAAAGATTTGGAGAGAAAATATTTGATTATTTTTCTCTCAGAAAAACTGTTACAATGAATATTTTGTGTCTATTTTCATTCTTTCTGCTAATTTCTGTTAGCTGGAAACCCGGAACTACAGTTAATGACGTCATTCGGGATAATAAGCTAAAACCTGTATCGTCTTGACATCAAGGCTACGATAAATCCGGTTGGGATTTTCCTCCAGTGTGGCTTAATATAAAACGATTGTTGGGAGTCGTACAAGATTTATTTTGTGAAGGTAAACTTTTAGTATATTTTATATAATGCACCAAAAGCTTACCTTTAAGCATTACACACATTTTATTACTGAATAATTACATAATTATCTATCTATATGTTACACAGAGACCAATCTGGTTTTAATGCGGAGATTATTGTATTTTTCAGATGTGAGAATCAAGTTCCTGGCGTAAGATATCAAATTTTCCAAATTATGAAGACTTTCGTGCTTTTTCTTAACCACTAAACACGAAACGGAATTGGAAACATTTCTTTACGTAACAAAAATGGCGCATGACCTAGACAACACCGGAAGTCGTCTTCTTAACGCAATCCTATCAGGAAAAGCGCGGCAAATCAGTTCCCTCCTGGACCAAACCGTCGACGTCGATGTGAGAGACGATGAAGGAAGGACGCCCTTGATGTACGCAGTCTGTTGTGACATTGATGACGTCAGAACGCACGTGGTGCGTTTGTTGTTGCGCAGTAACTGTTACATCAACGCACAGGACAGTAGTGGATGTACGGCACTGATATACGCATGCATGGAGGTAGACCGTGTGGATGTCGTGAGACTGATCGCCAGGAATAAACTGTGTAACCCCAATCTCCAAGACTCTGAGGGATATACAGCAGCAATGCACGCGGTGGCTGCGTCAAATTCCCAAGGTCTGAAAATTTTGTTAAATTCATCTGCGACGAAATCTGTAGTGGATTTGAACATAAAAAATAAAAACGGAATTACCGCCCTTGAACTTGCTGTGAAACTCCAGTTATTTGACTGTTGTAAGGTGTTGACGACAGATTGTGTTGGCGGCCGCAATTCGAACAATATTCGGGACAAAAAAGGTCTGAACTTAATTTTGGGACGTGAAGCTTCTGTGATGTCACAGAAAGGTAATTTG